TTAAAGAGTCCTAGGGTTTGCTTCGAATGTTGTCACTTTGACTGATAACCTTCAAACAGGTCTTTGGACTTTTTGAAGTAGACCAATACTTTGAGCATTCAAGCATTTTTAAGCATGTAGTATGCTTCGAAGTCGGCTTCTGCATTTCGAAGTCGTTGTTGTTTGAAATTTTAGTGCCAAAATTTGGCTTCGACCATGGCTAAACCAACTCCCCTTTCTACTGATCAAGCATACGAAGAGTCATTGGGTAATGCTGATCCCCTTCGAAAGAACCTCCACGCATTCATTAGCCACCTTTATCCACCTTTCTATATTCAGGTTATGGATGCCTTTGCGAATTATCATCCTTTGGACCACGAATATATTGCCCTTAAGACTTCGATTCGACAAACTACGACCGTAGATACACGAAGTTCTTCCTCTGATTCTTCCTTGTATTTCGAACAAACTGCTTTCGATCCCTCGATTCAGCAATTTGCAGCCATGGATTTAGGAAAAAATTCTGCATGGGATGAGGCTACAACTTCTTCATCTCCTGGGGCCTCTGGCTGGACCAACTGGTCAACACCTGAGACTTATGATTTGAGGGAGCGAATCAATCACCATTTCGTTGAATTCACTGACCGTTTGGAATTTCCTTCCTACGCTCGAAGTTCAGTGGTCTATCCTTATGTGCCCATTGACCAACGACGTAGCTTGGAGGAGAACTTGCTTGTGGCTTGGTATACATCTTCTATACCTACGAAGATAATGCCTGCTATCCGGCGCTCAGAAGAAGCACAAGGGTACAACTCATCATTCTTAGCCAAGAAGGCGAAGATCTGCTCTTCTGACTGGCTTGCTTATATTAATGCCTTTGTTCCTTCCTCTCCCGCGCCATCTCCTATAATGGAAGCATCCACACTTTCTTCTCCATCCTTTGAAGCTGAAGCATCTACATCTTCTTCTTCACTGTTTGAAGCAGAACCATCCACTCCGTCTCCTCCTCCTACTTTGTCCTGGACGGAGAAACTAAGGCTTGCCCTTCCAATGGACAAAGTTTTTCCACCTTACCAACCTCCGTCACCCCTTTCTCTAGCCGAGCGAAAGCAAGCTCAACTTTTGCTCGCGGCTTTCTCCCACCTGCCTTTCAATGTTCTTGAGGATGACATTCCTCTTAAGAACTTTCGATGGGCTTGTGATGTCTTGACTAGGGGTTATGTCCTCAACCCTCTTGCCCAAGCAGAGCTTCATTTGTTTTTGGACCAACTTCCAGTGCTCCTTTATTGGCATCGGAATTCCATGGTCACTATGCAATCTTTAGACCAACTTTCGTCTCTGCGAATTCAGGCCCAGTATGAAGCAGAAAACTTCACCGAAGAATTCGACGACTTCAAGAATAAAGATTCTGCATATTGGGATGATTTGATCGTAGATGAATTGGAACAAAGATTGAGGGAGGAGGCTTTTGAAATAAAGGCTGAAGAGCTCTATTATGAAGTGAGAGTACATCAGCTCATGCAGCCAACTCTTGAAGAAATAGAAGATATAATAAAGAAAGAGCAGAAATTCATTGACCATTGTTGGACTAAATTTCATGATCTTGTTATCTATTCTATTCCTTATTTTTATGAACTTGAGTTTGTACCCAAATGGGGTTATTCAATGTAATCTCTTTATCTTTAATACAAACAAAGTTCTTTTGCACTCGCCATTGCTCGACTCTGCTTCCTTTTATATTTTAAAACTAATTTAGAGCTTCGAATTGGACAACCTCATCCTTCGAATTATATATTCAATCATTTTCTTTTAATGATAATAATGAAACACTAGAAGGAACCAATCATGTCTTTTTCCAATTCATGGAGTAAAATTGACAATTCTGGCAGATATTATCTTAGTGCTTCGATTTCAACAACTTTACTCTTCAACACTAACTGTAACCAATATGTGGTCATGGTTGATATAGCCAATCAATTTTAAACTGATCTCTTTTGGCTTCGAAGGGCAAACTATGGTAATTCCTTCTTGCTCAAACCAATAACTGGTTTGGATGTTCCGAACAATGCCCTTTTTTCCTTAAAGAGTTCTAGGGCTTGCTTCGAATGTTATCACTTCGAACAGGTCTTTAGATTTTTTGAAGTAGACCAATACTTTGAATATTCAGACATTTTTAAGCATGCAGTATGCTTCGAAGTCGGCTCCTGCATTTCGAAGCCGTTTTTTTGTTTGAAATTTTAGCGCCAAAATGTGGCTTCGAAGCTGGCATCAATGTGCTTTTCCCTCCAGAAATTATCGATGTTGAAAGAGATTCCTTGTTTTCGCACGTTTTAGTACTTAATGACTTACGAGATGTATCCCCGCACACAAAAGTTATTTAAAACCTTTTCACTCTGTGCCCCGGAATTGCTTACACATTCAAATCCCCTTTGGATTTCCATTTCTCTCTACTCCCTTCTATATTTTCTGAAAACTCACTATCAATGGCTTCTTCCTCATCAAAAGTTCCGACCATAGAGCGTGTAAGCTCATCTGTGGCTTTGAAATGGCTTATTGATGCTGAATGTGAGAAATACAAGGGTGATGAGAAAAGTGCTATCGATGGGCGTTTCTTTATCCCTCGTCGCCATGTGCAGCGAGAGTACGTGCTAGGACCTATTTTCAAGGAGATCCCTTCCGAGCTTCCCGCCCTATATCCTCGCTTGGAGAATCAATGCCTTCTGTATGAAGGTGGTCTCGACTGGCAAGGCTGGAAAGTCAATCGTCCTCACCGATGCTGGCCCACGATGAGACCAGAGTGGCAAGAATGGTACGACCGAGTTGTCCCTGCTAGGACATTGGACCTTCAAGAACTCTGCCTTCTTGATGCTCTTCGACTATCTAGGGTAACTATCCCAGAAGACCCTTTTCTAATCCCCGCTGCTTTATGTTTCTGGAACCCTATTTTCAATTTCTTTCAGTTTAGGTGTGGGATGATGGCTCCCACTGTTCTTGATATTTGCCACCTATTAGGAGTATCCCCCATTGGTACCCCCATCACACCAGATTTTCCTGACTTAGTAGTCCCTTTCTCCCTCCCCTCTCTTAATGTATCTTACAGTGATTTTGTTAGAGTCGAGAACAAAAGAATGGGTCCAGTAACTGATAGGGAATTCTTTTCCTTTTTATTATATTGGCTTTGCAAATTTCTTTTCTGCACCTCCTCCCAAAGAATCATGCTCGAATTTGCTCCTCTTGCCAAAGCCTTGGTTTTGCAGAAAAGAATAGCCTTAGCCCCATACATTCTGGGTCATGTATATAGAGTTTGTTCCCTCTTTTGTGAGAAACCCCTAGATGCCAATCAAGGGGGACCATTTTGGATTCTTCAGCTTTGGCTCTTTGCCTATTTTTCTGAACTACAATCCAAATGTCTTAAATTTTCTGGGCTACACTCCCTCACTCATGGCATAAAACTGGCCAATGCTTCACTTTATCCAGCTACTTTTGCCTTTTATTTCTCCTTCTTTCATCAACTACCAGCTGCTCTTCCTGATCATCGTTTCCGTCCCTTCGAAGCTAGCATAGGTCCAACCTGGTTAAATCACTTCCTTAGTGATAGGCTCTGTGCTTTGCCTATTCATAAAGATATGTGGGCTTCCCTACTGATCCCTAGGGAACTGTTTATTGGGACCACCAACCCCAGAGCCTATAAATGCATAGCTGAGCCTTATTGTCCTGCTCAATTTGCTAGACAATTTGGCCTCACACAAGGAGTTCCAATACCTCTTTGCAGCAACACCAATCTGAGTCTTACTAAGAGGGATTTGAAGGTTCGAAAATCGAGATTAGAATAGGCAACCTTCAAGTTTATGGATGATTTGGCCAGTTTTGAGTTCATCCCTTTCTCCCCTCATGGTACTGAATTGAAGAGATATCAAAATTGGTGGGTGAGCAACATGGAAGTTTATTTGGCCATCTCCTCTCAAAACCTATTGGAGGTGCTGGATGTGCCCAAGCCCAAAGAAGCTGAGACTGTCATTTCTTCCACTATTCCAATTATAGTAACTGCTACAACTCAGTTTACTTCTGCTGCTTCAATTCCTCCCAGAGTCACTCGAAGTATGTACCCCTTTCTCCTTTTCTCTAACCTCTTCATATAATGCTTGCTATCTTATCTCTAATTCTTCTTTTATGAAGGTGGTCAACAACAAAAGAAGAAGAGACTCTTTGAGCTAGAAAGGGAAAAAACTGAACTTCCAGAGATGGAGAAAGAAGAAAATGATCAAGAACAGGAGTCTCCCTTGAAAAGAAACAAAAGAGACCCTCAATTGGCTCAAGAGGGGATAGTCGCTAGGGAAGAAGAGGAGAAGCTCACTTTTGAAGAGTCTGGACCCCAACCTAAAAAGGTCGAGAAGACAATGGAGGAGCGAATGATTCCAACTCAAAGGAAAAGGAGAAGAAAAATTACCGTTTCTCCTTCCGATTTTACCGAAGATTCTGATTCCGAGACAATTGCTCAAGTAATAGAAAAGAGGAGGAGGATCACTGTTCTAGCTACCAGCTCGTTTGAAGATCCCATCCATGAGGTTGCAGAACAAGAATATCTCAAAGCCATAGTTGTTCTTGAAAGAGCTGAGGAGAGGCAGCAGCAACAATTCCTTGGGACAAGTAAGTTTCTGCATGCCTTTATTCTTTTCTTGTCGACTTTTCAAGACTAAGACTTGACATTACCTCACATTTTCTTCTTTTTACAGCAACGACCACTGCATTAATCTTCCCAACGGAAACTTCCCCAATTTCAGTCGAAGTTGATCAGATGCAACGCGTGAAAACCATTCAAATCGCGCTCCCACTTCCTAAGCCTATACTCGATACGTCTTTACCGAGGCCGAGTATCCCTGCATCTCTTTTCCTTGGCTTAGAGCCATACCTCCCTTTCTTGACTCTTGATCTGCCTCAGTTTGTTTCTTCGATCTTCACTCTTCCTCCTACTGCTACTTCATCTCGCATGGTAGTTGATTCTTCTTTAGGGGATACCGATAATTTTCCAATTCATGACTCATCACCAATGCCTACTTTCAGCCCTTCCTCACTTGATTTGCTGGTGGCCAAGACCATAGAGGCTGCCAAAGATGCTCCATCTGTTTCTCCCATCCCTATGCAGCCCTTTGTGTCTTCCACCACAACACTCTCTATGCCCTTCATGTCAAGGGATGAGGTAGACATTTTTGAAGAAAGACTAGCTAGTCTTTTTGACATTCCTTCTACCTCTCCTACTTCTACTACTGAAGCTGAGCCATTAGCCTTGGCTAACTCCCTTTTGGAAATCTTCGAGAGTTCTCCTTCCTCCAGAAACAAGCCTTTTGTACCTTTAGTAGATTTGGACACATGCTTGCAACTGTTGACTTCTTTTTCGAGGATCCCCTTCGAGGCTCTACAAAGGCCTATCATCAGGAACGGGTTCCTTCAATGCTGTAACATTGCGGAGCAGTCTGCCATGAGTGTTTCAAGTCATCTATCTCAGGCTGCGGCTACTATTGATTTCTATCTCAATATTTGCCATGCTGCTAAAGCTGCGGATGATAAGCTGGTTAAGGACCAGAGTTTTGTTTCTCAGGTGCATACTGAAGTATCAACTCTGAAAGAACAACACTCTTCTGCCTCCCACTTTCGAGTCCAACTTCTGAAGAAGAAAGCTCAGCTCGAAGAGGAGTTAGCTGCAGTAAACCAAGCCTTGGTTCGAACTGATAAGAAATTGCACATCACCAATCAAGGACTGGCTGATCGAAAAGAAAACATGGCTGCAGCTATTCAATTATTTCCTTCCCTTAGTAATAGGAAAGCTATTGTACAGAAACAATTAAAGCATTGTAATGATTTTTGGGCCAACTTGTGGCATAATGTACTTGATTCTTTATGAAAGCACACTATTTTGAATATAATTTGAACAAGCTTGTGTTTTTGCATATGGTGTTTACTCTATCCCTTGTGTCTCCCAAACGGTTGGAAAATAAGGTTTTAGAAATCTGCCATTAATCTTTTTGGGATGTACATAACCATTCAAATTTCTTAAATGGTATGCTCCGAAAGGCAGAACCCTATGAATTTGATATGGACCTTCCCAATTAGGTGACCATTTGCCAAACTTATGGCTTTTAATCCCAATTGGGAGTATTGTCTTCCATACCAAATCACCTTCATCAAAGCCAATGTGTTTGACTTTCTTATTATAATTCTCGGCTGCTTTCTTCTTTTGGAAAAGAATGCTATTTAACGCCAAAATTCTGGCTTCATCTACGCCTTCTAATTCTAAGCACATACTTTGATGGTATTGCTCAGGATTCAATTGATCTTGACATCTTACTCTCAAAGATTTAACATTAATCTCTACTGGTAAGACTGCATCATGTCCATACACCAAAGCATAGGGAGTGACTCCTGTGCTTGACCTCGGTGAGGTTCTATATGCCCACAGAAACATTCCAACATAGGTTATGCCAATCCCTGGGATTGTCATCCACAACCTTGTATTCCTTTTTTCAAGGACTTATTGGATGACTCAATTGACCATTAGCTTGTGCATAATAGGGTGTGGAATTAACAAGGCTAATTCCAAATTCTGCCGCAAAAGCCTTCACCATCTTCCCATCAAACACAGTTCCATTATCAACTGTTATGGTTTGCGGGATTCCAAATCTATGGATTCAAACTCTTTACCCCTCTTTTAGGCCTTTTCTTGCATGATAGTTTGGCCTTATTTGTGATTATTTTCGTGGTTTGATGTAAACTGAAAAGTACCTTGTTTTGAGCCTCGAAGAAGGTGGGTGTATTTTTCCTATCATATCCATGGCCCACCCTCTGAATGGCCAAGGCTTCACTACTGCATGAAGGTCAGTTATGGGCACGTGCCTTATTGTGCCATGCTTTTGACATGCCTGACACCCCTTTGCATATTCTATGCAGTCTTTAAGGATGGTTGGCCAATAATAGGAATGCCTTCGAAGCAACCACCTCATTTTTACATCAGGTTGATGAGCACCACAGATGCCTTCATGAACCTCAGCCATGGCTGTAAATGCTTCTTTCGGGCCTAGACATTCTAACAATAAGCCATCTCCCCCCCTTTTGTAGAGAGCATTACCATATATCATATATTGCATAGACTGCAATTTGACTTTTCTACTGGCCTTCGACGATGGACCAGCCAAGTACTGCATTATTGGATGCCTCCAATCTTGTTCTTGTAAGTCGTTATGATAGACTTCCAAGATCACATTCCTTTTATTCAAAGGTTGAATTAATCTCTGATATGTTGTTTGGCTTATGTCCCGTTGGGTCTTATCCCCTCTCTTGAAGTTCGAAGCCTTTTGAGCCACATCATTGGCTCTATTGTTCAAGAATCTTGGAACATGGGTTACATTTGCTAGTTGAAACTGAGAAAGCAAATGTAATGCAACAACATAATATGGCAAGATACTTATGCTTTGACACTTGAAAATTCCTTTCACTTAGTTAATCACCAATTGAGAATCCCCAAATATGTCAACTGCATGTACTTGTAATCCAATAAGAATCTCTAGTCCCACAATTAAGGCTTCATATTCAGCCTGGTTATTGGAACAGGTAGCTTCATCCACTCTAAAACCATGGGTAGTTTCTGTCCCCTGTGGAGACTTGATTACAATACCAATTCCAATTAACCCATTTGCTTTCGACCCATCGAACCACATTTGCCATGGCTCAACACTGGCCATACCAAGTTCCATTATCTCCTGGCTCTCAGTTTGAGATGGATGATCTGCCAAGAAGTTGGCTAAAACCTGCCCTTTTACTGCCCTTTGAGGGACATATTCTAGATGAAATTCTGATAAGGCAAGTATCCATTTGCCAATTCTTCCCCTCAACATTGGTCTAGATAACATATATTTAACCAAATCTGTGGTTGCAATTACCAAGACAGTTGTAGGCAAAAGATAATATCTTAATTTTATTGCAGCAAAATACAAAGCAAGACACAGCTTTTCAACAGCTGAGTATTTACATTCACAAGAATTTAAAAACCTACTAAGGTAATAAATAGCTTGCTCCTTGCCTCCTTCATTGTCTTGGGCTAAGAAAGCTCCCAATGAATCCTCTGCTGCAGCTATGTACAACTTCAAGGGCTTGTTCCCCTTTGGTGGCATCAACACTGGAGGTTTAGCCAAGTAGGCCTTGATACCTTCGAAAGCAATTTGATGCTCTGCTGTCCACACAAATTCCTCTTCATCTTTCAGCCTTAACAAGGAAGAAAATACTTTAGTTTTCCCTGCAGTGTTAGAAATGAACCTTCGAAGAAAGTTAACCTGCCCAAGGAACCTTTGTAATTCTTTCTTACTTGATGGGGGTTTGGCTTCAATGATTGCTTTGGCTTTATTCTGATCAATCTGTATTCCTTTCTTGTGAACAACATAACCCAAGAAATTTCCAGATGATACACCAAAAGCACATTTAAGAGGATTGAGCTTTAACTTGAACTTCCTCATCCTTTCAAAAGCTGCTTCTAAGTGAAACAGGTGCTCCTCCATGGATTGGGACTTAACCACAATGTCATCAATATAACATTCCAAATACCCTCCAATGAGGTCATGAAAAATGGTGTTCATAGCCCTCTGGTATGTAGCTCCAGCATTCTTCAGACCAAATGGCATTTTAACCCACTCAAAGGTGCCAATATTCCCAGGACATCTGAATGCTGGCTTGTGGATATCTTCCTCTGCAATGCAGATTTGGTTATAGCCGGAATGCCCATCCATCATTGACAAGACTTGGTGACCCGCTGAACTGTCCACCAGCAAATCCACTATAGGCATAGGGTACTCATCCTTGGGAGTTGCCAGATTTAAATTTCTGAAATCAATACATACCCTCATTTTGCCATTCTTCTCGACTACAGGCACAATATTAGATAGCCACTCAACATACCTGGCTGTTCTAATAAAACCTGCCTTGAGGAGCCTAAGGATCTCTTCCTTAACCTTCTGAATTACTTCTGGACTCATCCTCCTTGGTTTCTGCTTGTAAGGCTTGAAATTAGGCTTCATAGGGAGCCTATGTTCCACTAATGACCTATCCAATCCTGGTAGTTCATTATAAGACCATACAAAGCAATCTTTGTATTTCTTCAGAACAACCAAAAGCTGGTTTCTGTCCAGAGCATTCAAACAAGCACTTACATAAGTGGGCTGTTGTACAGAACCTTCCCCTAGATTTACTTCTTCTAAAGGGTCTTGTGCATGAGAACTCCCTCTGGTTTCTTGGCTGCTTTGAAGTGATCTTTCGAGCTTGGTTCTGCCTAAGTTCTTAGTTCAATATCTCTGCCCTCTCCTCATAGACAAAACTGTCCACAAGGCTTCCTCTTCCTGTATTTCTTGGACTTTTGTTTCAATGTCCAAGGCACAGTACTTACCAAGAGTCAAGACTCTAGCCTGTTGCTGCTGCTGTTTGCAGCCAATTATCATGGCCTCTCTCTTCTGCTCCGAACTTTCTGGACTATTGCTTTTATGTCCAATGCTGAAAACTTGATCAAAGCCAAGGACTTGGCTTCTGGTGATTCCTCTCTTTGCATAACCAGGCATCATTGTCATCTCTAAGGACAACCTCTTCACAGCATTTTTGGACTAAGTGCTTTCAGGTGTGTCATCTTATCAGCCGTCACTTCGGCTGAATTGTCATCTTTCATCGAATACTGAGAGGTGTCACTCCTCAATATACAATTTAGCCTCGCAAGTCTGCACAGGCTATGAAGGGTTGAGGAATCTGCGTCGATCTCCTCTGTCTCTCATTGCCCAAGGCATCATGATTTTCTGATGTAAAGAAGAAGGCACACACTTGTTAGTGTGGATCAGTCCTTCCAAGCAAAGCATTGTATTTAGCATTACTGTCGATTACGAAAAATGCTGTCATACAATCCCTGGTTCCCACTTAAATTAATGGGTAGAATCCCTGAGCCATTTGTTTATCTCCAGCAAATCCAGCAATGGTTGTGCTGGTTGGTATCAACCTGGGATTCTTTTTCCTAGTTTCTTCAAAGAAGATTTCGGGAGTAGGTTCACTGCTGCCCATTGTCTACTAGGACTCGGTTCAGCTGTACCCATAAAGAAGAGCTTTGATGTACAAGGGCTGACGTGCTGTGTCATCGAATCCGAGGGGTACTCAAATGGATATAATAGATTGATGCTTACCATCTTCATCTCATCATCCTCTCCATTCGGGATGAAATTTCGAAGTTATCTGTGCACCATACTTGCTTGTGAATCTTCACTTGGAGATCTGAACTGGGTCAGCTTTCCTGCCCTTGATCTTCATCTCAGCTTGAATTTCTTGTGGCAATATTGCACCATGTTACTGATACAGGGGCAACGAGCAAATGGAGGCTGGCTTGTACTTGTTTCCCCTCTTGGTACTTTGGGTTGACTACTCAGAACATCTGCATGAATGCATTCTGGTATTTCAGTCACTAACTGATCCCTTCGAAGGATTTATCTCAACTGGCTTTATAGTCAGAAACGTTTTGCTCAGCCATGAAGGCTTCAAACATCTCTTTCCTCACAACCTCTTTCTTCTGACTCACGCTAATCTTCTTCAGTCTCACTATCTGTTTCATCAGAGCTTTCTCCAAACCTACAAACTGGCCTTTTCTTCTGGTTTTCAGTTCAGAATGAACTTGGCCATTTTCTCGCTGCAGAACACTGTGCTCTGTGGCACTGGCTTTGGAGCATGTTTGATTTTAGGTTCTTCTCCTTCCGTTTTTGCTGTGAGAATTTCTCCACTTCTTCAGATCCTTTTGGTACTGGGTGTACTGCGCTGAATTTTTCTCTCTGTTGATCTTGAGATGACTGGGATCATGTCGGGTTCCTGTCTTTGGGTGTTTAAGCAGTAATCCAGTTGTTCGGAGCCACCATAGGAGGTTGATATCCTGCCTTGGTTTAGAGTATCTCAATAGCAAGGTACCTCCTAGGTTTTGTTTTGCTTACAAACCAAGTCGGGACCCAGGTACCATGAGCTTACTATTGAAGCTGACCTCCTTTTCACTTTCGAAGACATATTCGAAAACTGGCGTGAAGGTAAGTGCTTGGTTTTGTCCTCATGTTTTGGAATCTGGTTAGACATTCGATAAGAGGTGAGCATTTTCTGTCCTGGGTGAAATGATCTAAGGAGCCATCTCTGGCTTTGATTCTGGACAGCAACTCCCTCTCCGCTTTTTTAAAATGCTTTCATGGATTCTATAATAGTTATGTGGTCTGATTCATGCAGAGTTTCTTGCTTTGTCATGATTCTGTTTACACAGGTCAACCTGTGGTCTTGCTATCACTGCGGATACGGCTTTTGTTGTAGAAAGCCATTGGTTGATTAGGACGTTTGAAATCCTGTATATTGCTTCCCATCAGTTGGAAGCCTTAACCACTTGTACTGAGTCTGCACTGGGGACATTCTCTGCATCACCGCTGCTTCTAAAGAATCATCATCCAGTGACTCTTCATCAGAACATTCCATCTGGTGTGAGGAACCTTGTTCAATAACTGGTGGGCTTCTAGTATTCTTCTTGATGTTGGTTTGATTAGCAACATGCATCTTCACATTGACTTCCTCCAATTCTGTCAATGACAAGTTCTGGAAGTCTGATGTAATGACATTGGCTGCTGCCTTTCCAACTTCTGGAAAGGGATCTCTGTCAATTCCCATGGCTTTTTCTGTTTTAGCTGAGAACTTCAAACTTTCTTTTCGAATCTGTTCTTGGATCCTGTCTCGAAAAATAATGCAGTTTTTAGTCGAGTGAGTCCAAGAATTATGCCATTTACAGTATGCTTTTCCTTTTAGTTCATCTGGAGATGGTAGTTTTACTCCTTTTGGTAACTTAAGGAAATTAGCCGCGAGCAAATGGTCAAAGATGTCATCTGCTTTTGTTAAATCGAAAGAGTATTTTCTGTGAAAGTCTTTCTTTTTAAACTGCTTGTCTATAGTTGTATCCTTATGAATTAATTCTTCACAGATTACAGGTTCTTTGCCTACAATCTCTGTTGCATCTATTTCATAATTAGGCTCTCTATAATATGTCTTATACGAGGCATTATTTCGATCTTGTTCCTCTTCTAATAATGCTTCATATCGAGACACCTTATAGGTTAGTTCGACCAAATCTCTGAATTCAGTTGAATCAAACTTCTTTCGAAGCCTGAATTCTAAACCATTTTGAGCCAATCTGACGAATTCTGGCTCTGGCAGGATGACTCTACATTTATTTCGAGCCCTTTTAAATCTGGCAATAAACTGAGTAGCCTTTTCTTCAGGCCTTTGACTCAATCTAGCCAAATCTGCCACAGATACTTCTGGCTCTGATTGGAAGAATTGGGCATGAAATGCCTCTTCCATTTGTTGCCAATTTTGAATGGAGCCAGGTGTAAGGTTGATGTACCATACAAATGCTCCCCCTGTTAGGGAATTCGGAAATAATCTCAGTTTCATATAGTCATGGTTAGTAAATTCACTGCATTGAGCAGCAAACCTGGCAATATGTTCTATTGTTGATTGATTTCCAGTCCCATAAAAAAGGGTAAAATCTGGTATCCTGAATCCCCTTGGGTATTCATGTACCCTATCTACCCATTCCGGGTATGGTTTTCTGTATATAGGAGTCTGGACCCCCCCAGCCATTGGTCCACATATCTCCCTAACAATATCAACAATCTGGTCTCTAGGGACCATATTTTGTGCATGCTGAACCACTACTGGAGGAGCAAACACAGGATTTGGTGGATAAACTTGTGCTTGTGCTGCTGAGCCACTACTGGAGGAGCAAACACAGGATTTGGTGGATAAACTTGTGCTTGTGGTCCTCTTGGTCCATAAGGTGGTAAATTTGGGGCTGGTTGTCCTTGCGGTGCAAGTTGCTGTTGAGGGTATGGGTAACCCCTTTGAGCATGACCTGCAAAAGGACCTGCAAAAGGTGCTGGAACAGGTATTGTGTCCCTACCATTTGTAGGAAAACCCTCCAACCCCCCGGGTGTAAATTCGAATAAGGGATTAGTGTACCCCATCGTGCCAGGTATGGCTTCGAACATGGGATTTGTAACCACTCTTATGCCAGTTTCTTGTGCTTGGCCAGATCCACCAACTTGTGTGGCTTCATTATTAAGTACTGAGGCATTTTGGCCTGCTATAGGCCTTGAAATAGGTTCATACCAAGACTGAGGTGATGGTCTTTCAAAGTTTTGGGTACTAGTTTGACCATTAGTATGTCCATTAACTTGCATAGGCTGTTTTTCTCTAGCCAATCTTTGTTGGGGGACATTTACAACTTCCTCTGTTTGTCTTGTGTTTGTTGGTTGGTGGTTATTCATTCGATCCAAAAAGGATGTTGCCCACCTTTCCATTGTGTTCATTAGTTGTTGTCCCATGGCATTCACTAAACCATCCCATGGATTTGTTGGCATAGTGGATGGTCCAATTCCTTGGTTTTGTCCAATAATACGAACATATGGTTCTTGTCCAGAAGTACTGGTCTGCTCGACCATGGGTTCTGACAATATAGGAGTTTCCACAGGACGTGTTACCACATTATCCTCTGGATTTGGTATTTCTACCTCTCCTTCCACGCCTTCTTCGAAGCGTTCATTTTCTCCTTGTCGTCTTCTTCTAGCCATTTTTAATTAAGTCCCACTGGGCGTGCCAAAAATATATGTTGGCTTTTTGGCTTTTCGAAGGGTATTTTTGTGAATGTGCGCGTGCCAGCAAGGATCAATCAGTCCTTACAGAAATTGTGATTGCCAACCAATTACCAGACGATTGTGTTTTAGTTCTTTCAACCTCAATGAAGAGGACTTTTACTAGTGGCTTGACTTAGGAGAAATTAAAAGGAATAACAGTAATATGAAGAACAATTGAAGTATTTCATAAAAACGAACACTTATAATGGTTCGAACTCAGCCTCGGAGAGGTTTACAACAGCAATCTACTTGAATCTACTTGAAGCTACTCCTATGAATCGAAGTGCAGTACGGGTATTTAAAGTGCTGGTATTTAAAGAACAAGTATTTAAAGGCTGGAAATGTAAAAGACTGGAAAAGAAAATATATGAAGTAAATGACTGATTTGTATGATCTGAGTCCCTTTTTCTGCTGGGGGCTGCCCTGCTATTTATACTCGTCAGTGATGACCTTCGAACTGCATTTCGAACTGTCGAACTGCTCCTCCATGATCGCTGATCATGCTTCCTTACAAGTAGCTCCATTACGTCATTTATGGCAGTTGAGTTTCCCTCTCGTACTTGAATTTGAATATGAGTAACCGTTGAAGTTATGTCATCTTGCATCCCGTTATTGATCCAGTGTTACTCAGATCACGTGAGGACCAATATCTATTGCCACGTGTACGATCAGGATTGAAGGCTTGAATAACCTTCCTTTATTACCCTTATTCTGCCACGTGTCGAACTGTAACTGGCTTTTACAAAATATATAGCCAACAGTTTGGTTGAGAGATTTGAGGAGAGATTCGGAAAGAGAAATGAAAAAGGTATGTAAAATGTGAATAAAACATACCTATATTTTATCTAGTTTCACACACCTTTTCCCTTTCTCTTTCCAAATTTCTCCCCAAATTCTCCAACCAAACACAGCATAAATGATTTGATGATTAGGACTCTGATAGTTCCTTACTGACAAAAGTATAATTAAGACAATCTAAAAAGAAAATCAAGAAGACGAAGTGTTCCTAATAAAAAGCAGAAAATGAGAAGTCAGCTATATTTGATTTAATTTTCAAATTTTGTTTCTAATTTTTTTTTTCTAAAATTAGTTTGGTAAAAAAATAAAATAAAATAAAAGAGAACTCATTATTTTCACTTGTGATTCTCTTTTTTGGTGTGGAAACAATTTTTAAAAATTTTAAAATATTTTATTTTTATCATACTAGTTTCCAATTAAAAAAATTTAAAAATAAATTCTGAAAAAGATAGAAAAGTCTTCGCAATTTCTATCCTATTCTACAATTTACTAATCTAGGATTTCCTTGAATCCAGGAAAGGAAAATGACTAAAGTTTTATAAATTCAAAATTCATCTCCCTTACCCATAAACTAATATATTTTTAATTATTATACACCAGGTCAAATATAAGAAAGAAGTACTTTAAATCAAGGCATATAACTAAATTAGAATTTAATCTAAATCATCATTCTAATTCCCAAAAATCCTTGGCTCCCATCAATCACTCCAACCATTCAATTGTTTTAGTTTCCCATAAAAATATGTTAATATAACTATTTTTAAAATTTTCAATCATAACATGTATATGCTTATTTTATTTATATAAAGGAGATTATCCAAATTTTGGATAGTCCAAAATAATTTGATATTTTGTTATAACGTCTATGGTGTCAGCATTTTTTTGCTATTAACAAATATTCAATCTCTCACTTTCTATTAGTCTAATATTTCTAAAATGAGATTGCATATATAGAACACTATCCTGCCACCACTATCACCATTCCCTCTCCACCCCAACTCCATGCCACAATGACGACTTGAAAACCACAATCAGATTAAACATATTCTTGAAAGTGATCTTTATTGCCAACGAATTTCATTACAAAACTTGGATTAAACTGCTTGGGTAAACTAAGGTTTGGTTTGACAAGTTTTAAAAAAGTCAAAAAGTCACTATCCTATTTAAGTCACATCACCTCTCTAACACATCACTTCAAACTCAACCCATATTTCATAAAAAGTAAAAAAAATACACTTATTTAGATCATTTCAAATAACCCCTAATTTTTAATAGTGGTTGAATCTGTCGTCCATTCATCTGATGTGACAGTTTTTTAAACTAATGGTTAAAATCAATCATCTAGTTGCACACCATAACCAAACCCTATTTAATAACATGTTCACAATCATGGACCATAGTTACCAATATATTTTTTTAATGATAAGAATATATTTAATGGCAAAAATAAATTATGTTTTTGATTTTTTTTTTCATTTGTGCCTCCAATATCGGACCATCACCGGACCGCAAGAAAGTTTCTGAAAAAGTCACAAGTGACAGCAAGTAATTGCTGGCATAGGCAATGATAGTGCGGCCATGATATGGATAGATATATAAGTAACATTAGAAGTCTTAAAAATTTTATTAAATATTTTATATGAGTGTGAGACTCACATAATATAAGTTACGTGTGGATCACATAGATATTTGATAAAATTTTTAAAATCTCTAACATTTATGTAGATATATAAATTAGGTAGATCAATAAATGATATATAGACAAATAATGATCATGACATGTGGATAGATAAATGACGTGCATAGATAGATAGATAGAAATGAGTAAAATGATCTTTCAAATTATAATTATTTTTTTGATTCCAAAAATTTTAAAAATAAACCTCCATATGCTGCATTAAATTTTTACTCATATTGGAGGTTTGCAATTTGGCGAACATATCAACTCACAAAACAAAAATTTAGTAGGTACTGTTAAATTTTCTTTAATACAATATTTCATCACCAAAATAATAATAATAATAATAATAATAATAAAGATAATTATCTTTAGAAGTTTCTGGTTTAAAAATGTTTTGCTTGGTTGGCCAACCATATCTTGCATTGTTCAAGGCAATGAGGCCTTGTGTGAGACCTAACTGGGAAAAGTTATTATCATCTCTTAACTAACCAAGGCATTGAAATCCAACCACCCCAACGACTTCAGCCAGCAAGAAAGTAATACAGAGGGTCCACTACGGTGTCTCCACTGCATTTTATTGATTTATTTATTTATTTGATTCAAGGGGAGTAAATACAAGTTGAAAAGAAAGAAATTAACTTGTTTGGAGTATGTTATATAAGTATATTTTTTTATCTTTTTATTTTATTTATGTTATATCATCTTTTTATTTTTTTACATATTTTTTTCATAAAAAATTTAAAAATATACTTATTTAAATCATTTCATATAACTTGAATCTTGATAAACAAAAGATGACCTAATCATGTCGGTAATCTTTTAATTTTTTTACATATTTTTTTTATAAAAAATTAAAAAATATACTTATTTAAATTATTTCATATAACTTGAATCTTGATAAACAAAAGATGACCTAATCATGTTGGTAATTAGCATGCTTGCAATCTCACTAGAGGGCCATAAAGAACTGCCAGAGTTTTTAATGTATAGGGAGCAAATATCCGTCGATGTCTGTACTCCTTGTGTCCAAACTGCGCTTCACTCCGATCGACCTGAGAACACAATGATGGTGAGCTACCCGGCGGTGCACTACCGAAAAACCCTCTGACAATCAAGTTAGCACACAGGGAAAAAGAGAAAAAAAAGGAGGCAAAGTGGTAGGTGAGTTGTGATCATAAGATGTTCCAAACCTGAGTATGGGGGCGCAGCACCGTTTATATACTTTCTGCACGCGCTTCTGCGTTCATTCACCTTTGGACGCGTGGACCTGCTCTCCTCTCACATTTTCCCACGTGTCAGCGCAAATATAGCTAAACACCACCTAACAAAATCACCAAATGGCATTGGCGCGAACGGACAGCACGGCGCCACTTCATCATTCCTCGGCCGTGCTACTTCTGAGATGTGCAATGCTCTAAACCGAGCTACGCCTAGCACGGCGCCACATCGTCACACCACGACTGTGCTAATTGTCCGGTTTCATTAAAGAATCTCACTGCGGTTTAGTCGTTCTCAGTTATGACCTAGCTCCTGCTCGGTCAGACTGATCTGCAGAAGACCTAACCCGTCTACCTCAATGAGTGAATAAAGTTAACTGAGCTGACAGTCCGATGTAACCCTGGCTAAATCGGACTGGGGCCTTGACCGAGCGCACCCTCACTTGCTTGGCCCAACTTAGCTCGGTCATTATCTTGGCCCAATACCAATTTAGGAAATCTCCCTCTCAATTGCCCCTTAATTCCTCCGCGCCAGCATAATCGGGATTACCTTTTCCAGCCGAGATAACTAATCTGCTCGGTTGTTATCTTTAACTTATTCGCCATGCTAACTTCCTTGCTCGGCTACGTCACTTGCTCAGTCGATATTTCGACTTTTCTGCCTCTCCCTTCAGTATTAACACCGGTCTTGTCACAGACACGTGTCTTTTGCTCATTGGCCTTATGCAACCAACCCAACCGTCACACGCTGTCGCCTCGAATTCGAGTTTTCTGCACCTCTTCTCATTTTATAAGCATGTCGCTCGCCCCTTCGTGTTTCTTCCCATTGTTCATCTTCTTCTCGAGCGATCCAGCGATCCATAGCACCCAGCCTTCGTCCCTCACTCACTTTACTGAGATCAGAGCATTCCCGTGGGCCTATTTTGCTCCGTCGCCGTCGCTGGGGCCCCGTCTCACGGATTCGAACCATAATCCGTGCCTTAACATGTAAGTCTTCAACCCTTCATTGTTCTTCTTCTGTTATTCTTGCTTTTCTTGTGTGCTTAAACTGTGACTGCCATAGTTGAATCTAGGGCATGATGACAGTAGGTTTTAGGGCTTCGAATGAAGTTAGTCTAGGGTGTGATCACAAAAAGCCGTTTTTGCCCCTTTGCCCTCGACACTGTTCATCATCTTCTGTGATGCACACGCGAGGATCTGGGACTGACCGGGCTACAAATCATCATTTGATCCAAAATCATAAGTGAATTGAACTAGTTCCAAGTTTATAGAACTTAGGTGAAAATCGAGTTAAGAAAGCGTCGGGCCGCTCGACCAGGCTAATATCTGGTCCGCTTCGAGCGACTGAGCTGTTGAGTTCACCCAATTAGGCCGAGGTGCTATTGTGCCTAAAGTGACCGAGCTGACGTTATAACAAAATATCAAATTATTTTGGACTATCCAAAATTTGGTTAATCTCCTTTATATAAATAAAATAAGCATATACATGTTATGATTGAAAATTTTAAAATAGTTATATAACATATTTTTCTGGAAACTAATCGGTCAAGTGTGGCACCTATTAAATATCAGCTCTAAATTGGAAGGCATGGACATTTCAACAGATCTACAAGCAAACATTTGTACAGTTTTCAATTAGGCATTAAATCAAACAACAATGCAACCAACCAATAAGTCAGACAACCAATAGGAATGCTCCAAACAAAAATATCCATGCTTTTTATCCACCCAAAAAAAAAATATTCATGCTTTCAAATTCTATATAAATGGGTACGGTATGTCCCCATATTGAACACAACCAACACTTAGAAAAAATATCCCTTCCTCTTGGAGATGAAGATGTATCTTCCAATCCTCTTCGTCGTTTCGCTTCTCTTCTCCTACTCTCATGGTTCAGTGCTAGACTTCTGTGTGGCAGACTTCTCATTGCCCGATGGACCTGCAGGCTACTCTTGCAAGAAACCTGCTAACGTGACGGTTAATGATTTTGTTTATTCAGGTTTAGGCATTGCTGGTAACACTAGCAGTCTTATCAAAGCTGCGGTTACAACAGCATTTGTAGATCAATTTCCTGGTTTGAATGGGCTTGGCCTTTCCATGGCACGTTTAGATCTAGCCGTGGGTGGAGTTGTGCCAATCCACACGCACCGTGGAGGTTCAGAAATCATTTTTGTGGTGGAAGGAACAATTTGTGCCGGATTCATATCTTCTTCGACCAACACTGCTTATTTTAAAACTCTTCACAAAGGGGATGTTATGGTTTTCCCACAAGGGCTATTGCATTTTCAATTCAATACTGGAAATATACCGGCTCTTGCGATTGTTAGCCTCAATAGCGCAAACCCGGGTGTCGACTTCACTGATGGTGCGTTGTTTGGCAACAATTTGCCTTCTGCAGTGGTGGAGAAGGTAACTTTCCTTGATCATGCTCAGGTCAAGAAACTCAAGGCTGTTTTTGGTGGCACTGGTTAAGAAAGGCCTTTGAAGACTATTTATTTTTATTGTTATTTTTTATTATAATGGTTTCTTTTTGCTGTACTACTTAAAGAGTCTCTCAAGTCGAGTGTCTTTTGTATGGGTCTTTAACATTTCCTTCTGCAGGCAAATGCATGTTTTTCTTAATAATATTTATCTGAATAATTGGCAAAGTTGTCCATAGGTATACTGTTCGTAAGGCCCGAGTAGTATGCGGATGAATGCCCCATGTAGAAATGGGCATGATATGACAGATAACAATTAGAAATGGGCATGATATGACGGATAACAATTTTGCTATACTGAATTGGACTGGCCGCCTTGTTGACATCATGCAAGGTGTGCTTGATTTCAGCAGCTCTAGTTTCAATAAGATATTTTAAAATCGCCCCATATTTTAAAATCGCCGCATCCTGTGTTCGCATCCGTGTCCATATCTATATCCATATCTGTGTCCGTACTTCTTAGGTGAGAATGGACTGTGAAAATGCTAATAGGATTGATTAGTGATGAAAAAGAGGAGTAAGTGTTAAGTAAATTGAAACCTTATGAGAACTCAATGTAATTATGCTGAAATTGTTGGACTCGATGTATTTCCTTCAAGCTTAAAAAAGATATTAGAGTAATTTACCCTAATAAAAAATAGTGGGCTAACATTGATTTCCTTGGTCACATGACATTTAAAAAAAGTAAAGCTTTCCAAGGAGGTGACACTCGGGAAATATGCAACATTTTAGTAAGATCTACAAAAACTTCTTTTTTTTTTAAAAAAAAAAAAAAATTGTGAAGAAAGAGATTTTACTAACCCAAAATAAAGAAATACTTTGAGATAATAAAAATTAGGAAGAAGATTTCATTTCTACATGATATATACCAACCATGTTCACACACAGTTAAAGCAATTTACAACCTCTCTCAAAAACCCCCAAAAAATCACTTACACAGGTTGGCATATCAACAAAAATCTAGGCACGTAAACAAGGCACCACAGGAAGAAGAATTCCATGAACATATACATTGCAACAAGCACACGACTAGCTTATTCATTAACATATTACATAAGCAACATAACCAAGAGTGACTTTTTTGTTCTGTTTATTTTTTTATCTTATAACCCAGGACACAACCCCTTTCAAGTTTGATTAACCCTTTTCAAGTTAGATTAGACAAGCCCTAGGCAAGCTCTTAAGAGGGGCCCTTTCACATATTTACCCTCAAAACAAAAGTTTGGGTAAAATGGTACAAACAAAAATAAAAATTAGAGGCTACTCCATTAAGGCACACAAATTTGAGCAAACCAAAACAGAGACAAATAATATGTTTTCAGAAACTAGAGCACAGCAAGATCAGAGATTTCCATTAAAGCATATAAATTAGAGATTATTCCATTAATGCACAAAAATTAGGGCACACAATTAGAGCTTAAATTAGGGCAACAACTATGTTCTTCCATTAAAATCTGATAAAGAAAGAGAGAGGAAGCACTCACCGGCGGACATGGCTGTTCGAGTCTTCGCTGATGATCGCTAGCTGAGCTTGAGTCGCTGCTCTCGAGTTCTAATATGGCTGACTAAGAGAAGAAGAGTTTGTTCTGGATCTCGAATTCCTCGTTTTGGGTTGGGCCCTTCAGATTGGCCACTCTGAATTTTTACTTATGAATTTGCTGAGAGCCCTATTTTGAATCTAAACTTTGGCCCACCTAGTTAGATTAGGCATCCAAATCTGAAAATAATAAGATAAGATGCACTATTTTTCATCACTGAATTGAAATGAAAATTGTACCTCTTGTAATTTCATTTTATCCGAGCCTTATGTCCAAATCTTATTCCATTAAAATGCTCATTAACTCTCTATCAATTGCCATGAACTCTATAGTCAACAACTCTAAGCATATCAACAAGAAAATCTAACATTACGGAACGTTGTTCTTCTACATTAGAGCAAAGCAACCTATTTGCAAGAGTAAGCTTAAGAAAACAAAAATCGATCACAAAATTGAATAGTTATACGTTGATGGATAAGATTTTGCAAGGAGAATTTGTTAGTGAAATCCACTTTTGGAAAATTTTGGCTCCATATTTTGCAAGGAGAATTTGTCAGCGAAATCCACTTTTGAAAAATTTTGGCTCCATATTTTGCAAGGAGAATTTGTCAGTGAAATCCACTTTTGGAAAATTTTGGCTCCATATTTTGCAAGGAGAATTTGTCAGTGAAATCCACGTTTGGTAAGCCTCTCAAATTATAGTTTTACCAATTGATTTGAGTGTGGTTTTGTTTTGAACTTTCAAATCATAATTCTACACCCATTTCTCAAAACTCAATTCAAAACAGAATCATTACTATTCAAAACTCATAACCAAAGACATAATTCAAAACTCTTTTCAAAACACAATTTAAATCAATATTTTAATTTTTAAAATATTTAAATATTTTTAAAATATTTTAATATTTAAATATGTTACAATTTTTTTAATATTTTAATTTTTTGAAAAGGTTTTATTGACAATCAGACGCTTTCATTTAACCGTTCATCGATGGATTCGGGTAAGTTTTAGTCTTATTTTCTTGATGATATACATGGTAGATGATCCGAAACATGAATTTTCATGTTCTGAAATTTATGTTAACACAATAAGCCATTAATTTCTAAGATTTCAACTTAATTATTTTTTGCTTTAATCACAGAAACTTAAGAATTTGAGTACGGCATGACAGAATAGTACAAATACTCTTTCTTTCATTTGCCGGGACATATGACAATTAAAATGATAATTTAGTTCTTATTTAGCATGCAACAGTTTTAATTAAAAATTAAAAATTTATTAAAAAAATTAAAAAGTCTATAACCTATATTAAAAAATTAAAAATTTTATTTTCTCTTTATTTTTTGAGTATCTTTTTATAAAAAACTAAAAAATCATTTTAAATACACTAGTTTTTTTATCTCATATTTTATCTAAAAAGCTAAAAAGTTACTAATAGTCTCTTCTCAAACGAGGCATCAATACATAAAATTTTCATTAAAAAGGAATTTTAAATAAATAATAAATAAATAAATATCTGTCTAAAAAATAAGAAAGCTAAAAGGGATCTAAAAACTGTTTCCCATTCCAAAATCAAGTGGGTGGTGAATGTGGGCTCCCATTTGGATTAGGTTACTTGTCAACCTTGAATGTATTCCCTTCACCTTGATAGCGCATTATGCTCAATCCATTATGAGCATTGAGCATAGAAAAATGATTCCATATTATATATGGTAATAGAAAAATGATTCCATATTATATATGGTAATGTTACAAAATAAAAATATATGTATCAATTAATATATTAATTAGATATTAATATATTACGTGACATAATTTTAGAAATTTTAATTTTTTGTAATTTGTATAATGAGTGGGATCTTGTTAGCAAAAATTCAGTTGAAGCCCAATCAACAGTAATTGATCGGCAATCTTAAACAGATTTTAAATAAATATAGAAAGATCAAATTTTGTGATTGAGTTCTATACCTTAAACTAAGAAAGGCAACGGGCCGGTGTGGGGCAGGGGATTACACTCCCGATCCCCGATCCCCGAAGGTATAAAATTTCTTGTCCCTGCCCCCGATTCCCGGCGAGGAACCCATCATCCCCCCGCTCTCACCCCCTAACGGGGATCAGGTTTCTCCAACCCCGAAAAATCTCCGAACCTTTTTTTTTTAATTTTGCATATCCCATTTTTTTTTTAGGCAAATAAAAATAATATATATAAAAGTATAATCCAACCATATCTAAACATAAACATCCAAATAATAACAACATGACAAACAAGATACAAAATAACACTTAGACCAAAACAAAAGAATAAATAAAACAACATCCAAACAACACTTGTTTTTTGCTTTAAAAAAAAAAAAAAAAAAAAAAAAATGTTTTTTGCTTTAAAAAAAAAAAACACCACTTGTGAATTTTGCAAAGTAGTATGCACAACCAACATTATTAGCTAAGTTAACTTCTAAAATCAATAGGCATCTCTCGAAGATATTCCATGGGTCTATCCCCTCAAAATTATCCATACAACATAATATCTCGATTCTCAAACGTCCAACCCAAAAATAAAAAAATAAAAAAATAAAATAGTACCATTAGTCTATTACAACATGGAACAATAATTGTTCAAATAAAACATATAACATCAATATCACAACATTGTTTCCCAAAAATTTGATATGACCATAACTTTCATCGTCTCTTTCAACTTGAATTCCTGTTAAATAACAAAAGGAAAAAAAAAAAATCAATACTAATAAGATGTAAAAAAATGTTAACAATTAAAAAAAAAAAAAGGATTTTCTTTGGAATTGTGAAGAAACTTTTTGGGCTCAACGGGCTAAAGTGCATTGGTTAGCTTTGGGGGATAAAAACACAAAAAAAAATTCATTCAATGACAAGAGTAAAGAGGTCTAAAAATCACTTTTGACATATAAAGTCTCCTTCTGGCCTAATCATTCATGATGAAAAAGAAATCAAAAATATTTTCTTCGATTATTTCCAAGGTTTCTATTCTTCCAGTGTTAATTCTTCTGATCAACAGTTTTCTACTATAAATGTACAGTCATCCTTATCTCCTGCCCAAATTGATTTTCTAAACAAACCTTTCTCAACTTGTGACATAAAGGATGTTGTTTTTCAAATGGACCCTCTCAAAGCACCTGGTCCTTATGGCACACCACCCATCATTTTTCAAAAATGTTGGCATATGGTATCTGTCTCCATTACCACTCCAGTGCTCTCTTTTCTCAATTCTGGGCATATGCTTAGGGAGGTTAATCGAACTTTCATCAGCCTTATTCCCAAAGTAGCGAATCCGGAATCAGTTGATCAATATCGTCCTATTAGCCTTTGCAGTGTTTTGTATAAAATCATTTCTAAAGTACTTGCTAATAGGCTCAAAATGATTATTAACTCTCTAGTCTCACAATTTCAAAATGGTTTTGTTCCGGGGAGAGTCATTGCTGATAACATTTCCATGGCTCAAGAGCTTACTAATTTTGTGAGAACCAAAAAACTTTCCAAAACTTTTTATGGAGCTCTAAAACTTGATATGAGCAAAGTTTTTGATAGAATCTACTGGTTTTTTCTTGAGAAAGTTCTTACAATTTTTGGCTTCCCTCCTAAGTAGGTTTCACTCATCATGTAGTGTGTCACTACAGTTTCATACTCCATTTTAGTTAATGATTCATTCACTTCTAACTTTGTGTCTAAGCAGGGGCTTAGACAAGGGAACCCTCTCTCGCCTTACTTTTTCATTCTTTGTGAGGAGGTTTTCTCATCTCTTCTTGTGTCAGCTCAAACTTCTAAACAAATTAAAGGTGTTAAAATATCCAGGACTGCACCATCTATTTCTCACCTTCTTTTTGCAGATGACAGCTTCCTCTTCTTTAAAATCACCCCCCCCCATCAGGCCAAAATTTGAAATAGATTTTAGACACTTATTGTCAACTTTCTAATCAAGTCATCAATCTTCACAAATTAATCTCTTTGTCAGCCCCAATACACCTTCTTCCTTACAACAATCTTTATCTCAACAACTAGGTATAAGTTTGGCTGTTAATTTCGGAAAGTATTTGGGGATTAAGCTTGATATAGTGTCACGACCCAAACCTGCTCCTAAAAGTTTAGGTCATGACCGGCCTGTACTCAGGTCTCAAAGACAAAATTTCAAAATATTCAAATCATATCGGGGCCTTAAGCGGAAGCAGATACCAAAAATGATAAATGTCCATTGAGCTGTGCATACATGATAACCTAAAATAATTAAACCATTTAGACACATATATATCTCACATACATATACATAAGACTCAATGAAATACAGAATCCTACAATACAAAGTTAAAGCCTCTACACAGAGGCATAACCCGTGGACTTTGGTACAACTCTAATGTTGATCCTTTAATGGCTCACCTACATATATATATATATATATATATATAAAAATGAGAAGGGTGAACTAACGCCCAGTGAGTGATAATAAAATAAAGAGGTTAATGGATGATATCCTTAACATTAGGAAAACATATGTCACAATTCTAAAACATTTATCATATCAAAATCCATGTTTTTCAAATGGAATACATATCTAAAACCATTAAAAAACATTTTACGTGGTGTGTGGTACACCCACTTATACAACGGGTTAGAATCACATTTCAAAATAGGACATCTATTTATTCATATAAAATAGCACTTCGTAAATATGAGTTATATAGCGATGTAAAAATATTCGTATTCATATCATATTTTATGAACGACCTTAGGTCCAAATATATCATGTCGTATCACTGTATCTTATCATGGAGTAGATGAAACATCAACATGTCTCCACCTCTCATATCGTATCACTGTATCTTATCATGGAGTAGATGGAACATCAACATGACTCCACTTCTCCTTGGGCCCAATTCATGTATGTATGGACCCAAGAGATGACTCGTACAGACTCTAGAGGTGACTCCCACTGTAGCGCTTAGTTTCGTACAGCACTTTGTTCCATACCAGAAATCAATAGGTCTTAAAGACCGAACAATTCATATCATGTCATAGCATAAACAGAACGGATAAACGGAACGCCATTGGGCCCACCATATCATATTATAAATAATTCACATTTCATATCATAGGTCTTGTAACTCATTCATTCGCATAAAACATAATCCTAGAACATCACAACAGCTATGTATCAAAATAAATATAAATGAACATATGTTTACAATATTACTACTCACATTGATGGGCTTTTGGTAGCAGTTGGGCGATGCCCTTGTCTTGACCTACAAACACAATTACATAACACAACATATCGAACATAGAACTACTCTCTTGATCAAAGTTACTTCTCTTAATCTTTGATTAATCAAATAAACCGAACCCTTACTTTGCCTTAACCAATTATTTATGCTGGTTCTAAACTCATTAGTCCTCAATGGTTCATAATTCATATCAAGGAAAATAGGAAGGAACGGAAGGAAACTGGGTTAGGAGAAGAAATAACATGAAACGAATAGATAGAAAGTGAACAACCTTCACTAATTTGAACATATCTAGTTGTGCACTTAGAATTTGGGTGTGATACCACCACCATTAGAAACTAAACTTCTGGGGTTTCAATTTAGGCTCAAGAATCATTTAAAACGGAGTCCGAATGGGGGAGATATACTTATTTGAAGTTGGGCTGAAACAGGGGTACCCCACACCTGCGGGAAACAGGGCCGCATGTGCGGGACAACGTGATTTTTTAATAGAATCAAATTGGGTGCTGGAAATGGACTGCCACACGTGCGGGAAGCCCCACCGCACGTGCAGCGCTGGGTGAGAAAATCTGTCCGA